ATTTATTTACTAGAATCTCTAAATTTCTTTCTTCTTATCCTTCATGATATTTGTATCTTCAGAAGAATTCCATTTAAATGAGAGCGGTGACCATCAGTGCTAGTGCAATTGCAGCTAGACCAAAAGGAAAACACTTTTTGGCAATTACAGACTAATATGCCAGAAACTATAGGGTATCAGAATTCTAAGTGCAAAGTCAACAGTAATTTTGGGTTGGAGAGATAGCTCAGTGATTAAGAACACTGGCTGTTCTTGCAGAAGACGTAGGTTCGAATCCCAGCACCCACATGGCAGCTAACAACTGTCCATAACTCCAGTTCTAGGGAATCTGACGGCCTCTTCTGTCATCCGTGGGCACTGTACGACACGGGTGCACTTACCTACATGCAGGCAATACACACATACACATAAAATAAAAATAATAAATAAAATATTTAAAAAAGACTGATAGCAAATCTAGTATAAATTGATTGATGTCCACCAGTATTAAAATTGAAATAGCAATTATATGGTAAAGATTGTACTTAGAGTCATTATGCAAGTAGACTCACTGCCCTGAGGTTTCTTCCTGGGCGAGGCTGCATACACAGTGCTGTCTGCTTGAAGTTTCTGCCATATTTTCCTATGGCATATCTTCCCTTAGTCAAATGTTAATAACAACTGCCTAATTTTGAATCCTGGTTCTTCACACAGCTCCTTTGCAAAGACAGTGAATGTAGTACTTTACTTGTCTTTTCTTTCTGATTGGACTTGGCTGTTGTGTATAGGCTCTCCCCTCTGCCCGTTCAGTAGTTCAGGACCTGGTCTCTGCATTATGCTGTTGATGCCTCAGCCCCACCGACCTTCAGTCCCTCCACAATGTTGTGAACTCTTGCTGTTTCTGGGAAGAGACTCTAAGCATTCATGAAGTTAAATGAAATACACTATTTAGTAAAAGAAAGTGCTAATTTTCTCATATACAGTGGCCTTATATGGTTGACAAATTTGTGATTGTGAATAAAATATTTTCAAGTCAACCTTCTGGCATCAAAAGCAAGTGGGGCTGTGCAATAGGAAGGATCATGATGCCGCATTTGAAGAAGTTCTGAACTGGCGTCTGCGTGTCTTCTGCTCTTGCCGGATGTGCATCTGCCCCTGAATTCCTGTGACACTGTGTGCGTGTACATGTTCATGTGTGTGCAATGTGTGTGAGTGCATATGTACGTATGCACACATGTATATAGAGGCCAGAGGTCAGTATCAGGCGTCTTCTTCAATCACTGTCCATATTATATATTTGGAGATTGCATCTAACTAAACCTGGAGCTCACTGATTCATTTAGACCAGCTGTCCAAGCGAGCCCCAGAGATCTTTTGTCTCAGCCTCCTCAAGCTAGGATTCATTTGTGGGGTTTCTGGGAGATCTAACTCAGTTCCTCATGCATGTAACTGTCTCTCCAGCTGCCCACCTGGACTTTGAGAGAAAATTATACCTGCAGTCTAATTTAAACTTATTTAAAATCTTTTAACTTAGTTCTATAAGAAAAGGAGAACTTAAATTATTGTACCCTACAGTTTGACCATGTAGTGAGTCTATCCCACTGAAAGATTATGTACTAAAAGCATGGTATCCAGACTTACAAGACTGGAAAGTAATAAGACCTTTAAGAAATGGAACTGAGTGGGGTGTGCACTTAGTGGGGTGTGGACTTAGAAAGGATTGAACCCCAGTCTGCCTCTGGCTTCTTGTTTTGTGAAATGATCTTTGTCCTCCCATTCACTCTCTTCCACTCTCTGCTATGGGGCCATCTCAGGCTCCCAAACCATGAGCTCAATAACCCTCTTTTCTTTATTTCTTTCTTTCTTGCTTGCTTGCTTGCTCTTTTTTCTACATTTTAATTGAATTATTGTGATTTTCATACAAGATAATTTGTATGAAATTACAAATTACCCATTCCTTTATTCCCACCTTCCTATTGTCCCTTACCCAATTTAATGTATTCTATTATATATGTATTAGGGCCTATAGAGTCTAATTGGTCTCCAAATGTCCTTCAGTGTGGATCCATTCATTGGAGCCTGGTTAACCTATCAAAAGTTCCATGCTCACCCCAGGCCCAGGGACCCTTGCAGAAGAGAGAGGCAGAAAGATTGTAAGAACCCTCTTGACTTTTAAACTTAGCATGCATCAGGTATTTCATTAGTCTGAAAAACAGACTAATATTTGGCTGGGGATGTAACTCAGTGTTAGAACACTTGCCCTGGGTTCAATTCCCAATACCCAAAAAAGAAGAGGCTTATACTAATACTTTCAATTGATGGAAGTTGTATTTCTTTGATCCCTGCATTTGGCAATAATTCAGCTCTTTCCTGGTAATGTGGGCACAAGGTCATAATGAGCGCCTGGACTCATTTTTAAGACCTGCACTGCTAACAAGGAATTTGCGGTGGTTTCAAACATTCTCCTCCCTTTTCTTTTCCAGTCACTACTTTTCTTTGATTTTTTTCTTTTTTATTGAAATGAAACCTATATACAATAAAATTCATATTTAAAAGTATGTACTTCAGTGGATTTTAGTATTTTCACAAAATTTCACAAATAATAGAACCATCTAATTGCAATGCAGAAGACTGTGATTGCGGTGAGCTTGTCTGGCATAGACTTGATTTGCCTGGAACTGGAGAACGTGCTTCCGTGTTTGGTTTTCTTCTAGTTATCTCAGAGGCGGAGACATTTCTTCTTTCAAAAAATAAAGTTTATTTCTTTGGCACATTAAGCTATGATTTTACTGTATTGATTGTAACAGAAGTGGTGAGCTTGGTGGGGGGGGTGATTGTAAGAGTGTGAGGTTTGCCACTACATCAGTACTATGTTTTAAATTATTGATTTTTTTTTTAGAATTTTATACAATATATTTAGATCATATTTAGACCACCTCCCCTATCTGCACCCTTCTTATAGCCCCACCAACCGCCAGATTTCATGTACTATGTCATATATATTAAGGCCCATTGAGTTAAGTTTGCGTTCCAAATGTCCTTTGATGTGTGTCCATCAACTGGAGCCTGGTTAACCTTTTTAGTGTCAAACCCTTAAAGAAAACGGAGTCTTCCTCTCCCAGTAGCTCTCAGTTGCTTGTAGTTCCTCAGCTAAGGTTGAGGCTTCTTACCAATTTCCTCACATCTGTGCTGGGATTTTTTTCTGCCTTGAGCTTAGGTGGGACTTGTGTGTGCTGTCATCACTGCTGTGAGTTCATATGAGTAATGTTCTAGCTGTCTGGAAAACTCTTTTTCCTTGTGCCCATCCACCACCTCTGGTTCTTACACCTCTGGTGTCTGTCCCCTTCCATAATGGTCCCTAAGTCTTTGGTGACAGAAGTTTGATGTAGCTATCATTCATTGATGAGCACTCTGGAGGCTCTTATTCTCTGCACTTTGGCCAGTTGTGACTTTCTGGCTTAATCACCATCTGCTGCATGAGGAAGCTTCACTGATCAGAGTTGGGAGATGCATTAATAGTCTTTCTTTCCCATGTTCCAGTATGTTCCCTGAGTCTTAGGTGGAGAGGTTATACTGCGGTTGTGTTGCTTAGGGCTGGGCACTTCACAAACACTTATTCTCTGTGTACCAGTTATGGAACTTCGTAGCAGTCTCCATCTATTACAAAAAGAAACTTCTTTAATGTGCAATGAGAGGTACAACTTGTCTGTAATTATAAGGCTATGTATTTAGAATATAGTAAGAAATTATATTGGTTTAGGGATGTGACAGAAGTAGTTTTTCCTCTAGGTTCTCTACCATCTCCAGCCACATGTATTTGACTATGTTCATAATACCACATATTAATTCCCTCCCATTGAGTGGGCCACAAGTCCAATAAGACAGCTGTTGATTACCTGAAAGATAAAAGTGCCACTACTGCACTAATAAGATAGTTTGCTGGGTTGGTCATTGTTGTGGTTCATAGACTTTACAGCTGGATTGGATCATTGATTTGGGGATCATTAGTTTTCTCCCTTGGCAGTTTGTGCAGTATCTTCTGATATTATCAGGGCGGAGGCATCCAGGTCAGTTCCAGCTCAATTGCTCCATGTCCTGGGTCATAAGTATGTCATGTATTCAACAATAGGGTCTTACCATCAACTTCTGGAAGGATGTCAAGAGCTATGGCAATTGGCAATTGCTGTATTATCTTGGGAGTCTCTGGGACTGACAAGTGCAAATGACTGATGACTGACGAATGACTCAAAGAAGGGTTTCCATTGCCTGATACTGTGTTTTTAGTGATGTAGCCTTCAGCTATACGTGCATGCACACACACACACACATACACATTTAACATTTGATTTTCTCACTTATCAAGTAATGGGGCTAAAGTAGATGTTCTTAAGTTTTCTTAGAATGAAACTCTCATTCTAGGTTTCAATGACGATTCTTCGATGTAACACTAGGATTTTTCCTATGGCTTATACCAAAGGTTGTGATATGGAAACTTTTTATTAAGTAAAATATATTTTAAAGCAATTAAGAGGAAAGTTACTAGCATCATGCAAAGTAGTATAATTCTGAGAGGTTTAAGGACTAAATTTTGGCTGTGTAATAGACTTATACATAGAGTGTGGTCGCTTAAAAAAAATCTAGTGTGCCTGTGTTGAATGTGGTTTGCTGTGTTTTGCTTTTGTTTCCGAGGGATAAATTTAACTGTGCTGTGTACATTTTAAGGGCAACGAAATCAATGAATAATCAAATACCTTGATTTATAAAACATTATGCTGGATCAGGTGTTAGATAAGATTTAGGCCTTAGCCCTTGTTGAGTGACAGTGTCTGAGCAGTTCTTTTCTCTGGAAAGAGAATCTTGCTTTTTGGTTTTGTATAAGGTATCGTCATTATGAGTGCTAACTGTAACTATGTGTCCTTTCACTTGTTCGTGACATTGGATATATACTTCAGACTAACTAGATTTAAGCATTGCTTATTCATCATTAATTCCTTTCTTTTTTCCTGTATTTATTTCTGCAGGATGTTTTTACCCCAGAATGCAAATTTAAGGAGTCTGTGTTTGAAAACTACTACGTGATCTATTCTTCGACACTGTATCGCCAGCAGGAATCAGGCCGAGCATGGTTTTTAGGACTCAATAAAGAAGGTCAAATCATGAAGGGGAACAGAGTGAAAAAAACCAAGCCTTCATCTCATTTTGTACCAAAACCTATCGAAGGTATGAAACAGCTCCTTTTCCTCCTCGGACCCTGGTACCCATCCTCTTCTTTGTCCCTTGCTCTGTAGGTTCTGCCTGGAATGAGCTGACACGACAAAGATTCAGAAAACACAATAATAACTTTCTTATTGAAGAGACAGTAGATAAGTCTGAGGAGCTTATAAAAAAAGTATGCTTGGATACTGAAGATAAAAAATTCCTGAATACAAACATTGGGGTCGATTACTGCTTGGAATGTAGTTGCTCTCTTTGTTGAACACAATTATTTAATTTCTTAGACTATCTCTTTTAAAATAACAATATTATTATTATAGTGCTAAAATTTTTAAAATATGTTTAGAAATATACTTCTATGCTGATCTTTACTCTGTGAGCAAATGTAACATGACACATGGATTTTCTTTGTACATTTTAAGGAAAGACACAGTGCCTTTTTTTTTAATTGATAGAATTTAGCTTTCACAGTTGAGTCTAGAACCTCTCTTCTTTGATCACTTAAAATAGTGTTGATTTCCATCCACTCATCTACCTGAAAAATTCTGACTTCACCTATCAAGTGAGGGGACTGAAGTAGCTGTCTTCAAACTTTGAATTCAAGAGAACATACTTTTATTACATTCCCACCCCCCCCTTTTTTAAGAACTAAAGATTCTTTCCTTTTGTCTTTGTATATATTTCTCTGTTATAAGAATAATCACATTGCAGTAGATTTACCAAGTGCCCTGCTATGTCTTCTTATTCATGGTTAGTACATTCTCAGAATGGACAGAGCTTGCTTTATTTTCTCTCCTGTCTCTTTTGTTATGTGAAGTATTTGGCGTATCATAAAGAGATATTTGATGAGTTGTCATTTGAATAAGTGAACATGTCAATGAACAAATGAATGACCAAGTAAATGCAAAGACAGAGATCTTTGTTCCAGAAAACACTCTTAGATACATGAAATATGTTTGCTAATGGCAATAGCATGGTAGAAAAAGTGGTAATTGAATTAATATTGGGAATTAGAGAAATAACTGCCATTCATCAAAAAGAATATATCATTGAGAAGCTGATGTTTAAAAGTGTCTTTAGGAAAGGCTCATACAATTGGAAATGAGGAATCGATTACCTGTCAAAACCATTGGCTTCTCAAAATGTAAATACCTTGTGAATTACAGGTTAGTCACACTAATTCTCTCAGAATCTGTACCTAGAGGTGAGCTTTCCAGAGACGGCATTGTAATGCCCCGATTGTCAGAACCTTGGTTGTACCCAGTTTTTATCTTTATGTCTTACTCTGACTCCTTAGAACTGCTCACTGAAGGCAGAATTACGCAGTCAGTGTGGGTCAGTGTGGAGCATGTGCTGTTCACTGTTGCCATAACCGTACACACTGGTCCTGGATGTGATCTTTCCACAGATAGAATTTAAAACCTATACAAGTCAGGGCTGGAGAGATGGCTCAGTGATTAAGAACGCTGGCTCTTCTTGCAGAAGACTCAGGTTTGATTCCCAGCACCCACATGGCAGCTAACAACTGTCTGTAACTCCAGTTCCAGGGGATCTGACAGCCTTTTCTGTCCTCCACAGGCATTGCACGACACAGGTGCACTTACCTACATGCAGGCATACACATAAAATAAAATTAGATAGATAGATAGATAGATAGATAGATAGATAGATAGATAGATATACCTATACAAGTTTTCTTGTCAAGATGGTCTCCAATAGCTGCCATATTGGTTAAATCCTACACAGCCATACTTAGGTACAGAGAAGATAAAAAAATGTAGCCTTTTGGGCTAGAGAGGTGGCTCAGCAGTTAAAAGCATCATCTGCTCTTGCAGAGGACCCCTAGCATCCACATAGCAGGAGGCAACTGTTTGTAACTCCAGTTCCAGGGGACCCGACGCCCTCTTCTGACTTCTGTGGGCATTGCACAACACGGGTGCATTTACACACATGCAGGCAATACACTCATATGTGTAAAATAAAAATAATAAAGTAAAATATTTTTAAAAGATGCCCTTTTAATGAATGCTTTCACTTAAATGCATGCTGAGGTTTGAGGGAACGGTGGGAAAATAGGTATTTTTGCAGCTAAAGGTGCCTTTTTTGTTGTTGTTTTTACTTTAAAGTATATCTGTCTTCCATACAGGCATCATTGAGGTTTTTTTTAATTTTTGTTTTTTACTGATGAATTAACAATGTTTTCCCTTTTGTTCTGAGAAAAAATAACATCTGTTTTAAATCAGATTTACTAATGTTTGGATTTACTTCTCATTTTTAGTTCTTTGTTTCCTTTGTGGAAATGAAATCTTAGGTGTGAAATATAAAGAATATGAGAACCGCTTCTGAAGATGAAAGATTGAACTGGTTTTCAGTCAAAGACCTTTTAATTTCCTATAAATGTCTTTGCCGTTTGTTTTAAAGAACAAAGTACATTTATTTGAGCCATATTTGCTTATTAATAAAGCTTAATTTTCATTGGTAGTGTTCTAAATTATGCCCAATTATTTTCTTTTTATTCCATTTTTATGAGGTAGGATCCAGTATATTCCCCTTTATAAATGTTGAAAATGGAGCACAGAAACTATTAAGTAATTTGTCCCAAATCATGGAGTGAGTGAGTCACAGAACCAGAGTTCAAGCCAAAGTACTTTGCTTTGAGCAATCTGGTACTGACCATGACCAATGTTGAGATGGACTGGTCTGAAGTCAGAAGGGCTGTGGATGCAATGTAAACACAGGACAATGAGACCTACAATAAATGCTCTTGACCAAGTACTAATAATTTCTTCTCTTCCTCTTAATCTGGAATATAGCTGCACTGTAGAAATAAAAATCCTTACAGATCCATGGAGTTGTTTATGCTTTCATACTTTACTTGATGCACACAAATTGGTCAGGTCCTTTATATTGCATATGTGCTCTGATATACTTATTAATATACATATTTTGAAACATTTTCCAATGATTCTCAATGAAGCTATATTTTATATCATAAGTTTCCATTAGTATGAAAAATAATTGATGTCATATCATGCTGTTTTGATGTGCATGGAAACTTCATCCTCCCTGCTGGGTCGCTAAAGTATTATTGCTACTACCATTATTAATACGCTTTTTAGCCTCTTATCATTTTCACTAAATCAATACACAATCTATCTATTTGCTACCAGCTAAACAGGTTGCATAGATTATTTATGTAAAACCTCACGATAGCCCTATGTTATTATCCTTATTTTAGAGATGAGGAGACTAATATTTAAACCAATTAACTTGTCCAAGATCAAAGGACTAGATAAGTAAAAAATACAAAACAGAAAACTACAGAAGTGAGATTATAATTCAGGAAGCCCAATGCCAGTGCATATTCACATGACCTATATTACACTGGCCTTTAATCTGAAGTAAGCCATGAATATGCAGATAGAGAAGTCAGCGATAGCAATGCAGAGATGTTATACCATGATAGAAATTGCATAGTAAGCTAGTTACAAACCCTGCATAATGAGACAAGTGTTCATGAAATGTTGGAAGAAGTGTACATTGTAGATGACTAGATGGGATTATTAATGGGCTGTCATCCTCAAATGGGGCAAGACAGAACTGAGGAGACAGTGCCTTGTTTCTGATGATGCTTAATGTGCTTCATCTCCTACTCTGTGAAAAAATTTGAACTCAATTATATTTAAAGTTGTTTACAATTTAGATTTGGATTTTGGTTTTAAATAAAAAATGGAAAGAATCAGGATCCCCCATTCCAGAAGAAGACTAGTTTAAAACCATCATAGAGGAATTTTTCTAAATCTTTCTAGGGTACCAATAACTTGTAGTGACATCTCCCTCCACTCATAGATTTTGGCTTCAAGTAATAACTTGATGTGCAAAGGATAGGGAGCCAGCCTGTAAGGATGGGAGGTATTGACCTGTCTCCTCAGCAGGGTGTGTGGCAGCCTTTGTAGGTATAAAGCCATATTCCATGATGGAACCTAGCATTAGATTTACATATAAAGTAACCTAGACACATTTCCTTTATTCAGTTAGGGAATGAATAAAATACAACTTCATGAGATATTTTCACCATGATAATTTATGATTTGCTTGTCTATTTATTCTGAATGAAGGCTTAAGATGAAGGTATTTAGCCATAAACTGTATTTTCGTTTGTTTGTTTTTAAGACAGGGTGTCACTATGTAGCCCTGGATGGCTACTCGCTACATAGACCAGGATGTTCCCAAACTCACGGAGATCTGCCTGCCTCTAACTCCTAAGTGCAGCCTGGCCCATAAATTTCATTTTTAAGCAAAGTTATTTTTGCAATGCTCTCTGTATGGAATAATGAAAAGACATGTAATTGGAAGATACTTTTAGAAAAGAAATACAAAATAATAGCTTTAAAGAGATTAGCCATATTGCTGCTTCGATGTTCAAGGAAATTTTGTAATCCTGCAAGTTCATTCTTTTACCATGCTAAACTTGCAGAACCCAGCATGAGTGCTGAATGGGCTGCCTTTCTGTGATACAAAGTAGCCCTAGGTTGAGGAAGAGCCAAAGTAGCTTTGTTTTTTTATGTTTTTTTGGGGGGGGTATTTTTTTCTTCAAGTATCTTTGCCTTCATAGCATTCCTGTATTAATTTCATGGACTGTCAAGATTCCTAAAATTAAGTTCTTCCAGTTTGAGGATACTTAATTCTTACACAGATAACCTAGTAATCACCCACAGCCCATTTCCCTTCACTCCTTCACTGTAATCTGATGTTCCACACAAGGGCAGTGTTAATGAGTAGTTGCAAAGACATCTGTTTGGATGGTTAGACTTGATACTTCAGCCCATTACAATATACATTGCACATCAACCTCTACTTACTTGGATATTCTCCTCTAGAATTTAAGACAACAGCACAGGCTCCCTGACTTCCAGTTCAGCCCTTTCAGAGCATTATTCCGCCACTGAAGAATGACACCCCAAATTTAAATTGTCTTTTTGGTGACCTCCCCCTCCAGTACCAGA